GTTGTGAGTGAGGGGTTGTTAATGTTGCTTACATTTTAACACCACCACTCAGCACCAATAGCTGATTGTGTGAAACAGTTAAAGTCTGAGATTAAAAGAAATGGACCCAATCTATGTGCCTGAACCACTTTAGCAGGGTATTTTTTTTTGGAGGGGGGGGGGGGTCTGAATATGCGCCCAGATACAAATATGATGGGCACAGTCAACCTGAAATCTAGGCAGTTTCAAAGAATGAATTCAAAGGAGTTTCAGTTACTGCCTCACCCTGCTGCCAATGGTTATGGTTTTACAATCACTTTTTTTTTTAAAAAGGGGTGGAGGGTGGAAGGGTCTCTCTTTCCCATTGCTCGATGAAAGGTTCATACAATAGTGAAACTGACAACACAGTCAAACATACAAACTAAAACAAAAATAGCTTTGTTTCTCTGAGATTTCAATTACAGAAATCTTCAGTTATACTTAAAGGTACAAAATTTTGAGAGACGTGTCATTTTCAAGTTGGTGTTCCTTTAAGAAAACGAAGGGGGGGGAAAAACCCAATCAATTACCGAGGACATCCCATATTTCAGACCCAAATTTACCTCTATCCCACACACAGTGTTATCAGATGTCTTATAACAAGTTATTTAACAGCAGAAGTAATAAATCATAAAGCTACAGCAAATGGGACTTCTGTACCATAAAAAGAAAATTTGCACAGAATTTTACACCTTCCACACTAGCATTTTTCTTGTGCTAACCTTTCAGGGGCCAACAGTTTGAGATCTCTGCTAGAACTGTGCAGTTCAACACATTTATTGATAAGAGCACCAGCATTCTTTGCTCTCTTTCCCTAGTGAACGTAATTGTGCAAACTTCTTGAAAGCAAAAACCTTAATTTTAGGCAACGTTTCCATTGCTTCTCTAAAGAAAGTGATGGAAGCCCTATTACTTATATAATTTAAAACTAAACTGGCAAATCTCCAGAGAATAATCTTGCATTAGCCAGAGTGGGAGGGGTAGACAAGACGGCCCAACTATCTTTGGTCTCTATCACCACTCCATTCACCCTGTAATGGTTTAGTTTAAGCACCTACTCTAATAGTTAAGTTTGTGACCAGTGAGCCACCTATACCAAACCACCATCATTCCTTATGTATAGACACTTATCCCTACACCCCAAGTGTCCAGCTTCCAGACACACACAAAGACCAGGGGATAGACAGGGAGGAAAAAGCTGCCATGGAAGGTCTGTTAATCCAATATCAGTAAAGTCTAGGTGCGAGTTTGGCACCTGTGTGCAGCAGTGCTATATGGAACATTTATATCACCCCTTTCGCTCCACAGCTCTTCACGAGATAGCTCTACACTGACACACCATCACTGGGGAGAAGGGAGGCAACCAGCTGGGGTACAGAGGTGTGGAGCTTTTGGCAAAGAACACTGGGATAATCCTCACCCAAGAAGTCCTATGAGATCTTTAATCTCCATGCAGAGCCAGCAGATCTGCACACAGCACATGCCGTGATACTCAGTTTATCTACCTCAACAAAGAGTAAAGATCATATGAGCGTCCATACTGGGTCAGACCAAAGGTCCATCTAGCCCAGTATCCTGTCCTCCGACAGTGCCCAATGCCAAGTGCCCCAGAGGGAGTGTACAGAACAGGGAATCATCAAGTGATCCATCCCGTGTCTCCCTCCTTGAGGTTCCATGTTTTTCAAGCCTGCTGGTTAGCCACCTGATACTCCTTGAGGTTGCTGCATAAGCAGCTTGTAGTGTCATCTGGTGCAGTGGTTCCAACCTTTTTTCATTTGTAGACCCCTAAAAAATGTCAAATGGAGGGGAAGACCTTTTGGAAATCTTAGACATAGCCTGCAGACCCCCATGAGTCCGGGGACCACAGGCTGAAAACCACTGATCTGGTGTATTGTCCATGTCTGACTGTAAATTCCCTGGGACCAGGACTGTGCGTCCATTTATACAGCACTGACCATACTGTCAGCATTCAAATAGTACTCATCATGCAGAGGTATTTAAAGAGACATTTTAAAAGGATGCCCCAGAATTATCAAAGAAATTGTCCAAAGTGCATCTAAGAGAACACCAAAACCCTGGAAGTTTATGTAGGTTCAAGCACCCTGGCCCCCACTTACAAACATCCTCCACTCATATCCCCCGCCAACTTACTGAAGCTTTTTGTAGCTGTTTATTGGCCTACATTCCACTGTGTTGCACCTGCTCTGCTGTATACCTGATCCCTCCTGCAGCCGGAGCGGCACTGCACCACCTTATTCTTAATGAAAAAATACAGAACTTCATTTCCTCAGAAGACAAAATAATATATCGGAGCAGACAGACTCCAGAAGCCACAATGCACAGCTGCCCCACAGCTCTTACTCCCGCTGACTTCAAAGGGAGCATTGCCTGAGCAAAGAGTGCAGTCCTGGGCTGTGATGGCTGAGTGGGTTAGGTGTTAGACTTGAACACCAATTGGGTTTTCCTACACAGGTTTGTATAGCACTCAGCGTGGCTGAGACTTTAATTCTATGGTCTGTGTTATACAGGAGGTCAGGCTAGATGACCCAACCCTATCTTCTGATCTTAAAATCTATATGGGGGAACTTCCCACAGCTCCCATTAGCCCCCTCCCACAATCTAAGCTCTTGTTTGAGCCGTTGGTGTTTGGATATATTTTCGTTCAGGAACATTTTTATACAGATCAGTAGGAAACGTTTTTTAAAGAAGTATGCTAATTTTTAAAGAAGTTTATTATCTATCTGTTGGAGTCCCAAAAGTAATAAGGAAAGTAAATTAGAGAGACAAGGTGAGTGAGGTAATATCTTTTATTGACCAACTTCTGTTAGCGAGAGAGAGACAAGCTTTCGAGCTTATATAGAGCTCTTCTTCAGGTCTGTGTCAGCTCGAAAGCTTGTCTCTCTCTCGCCAACAGAAGTTGGTCCAATAAAAGATATTACCTCCTCCACCTTGTTTCTGTAATATCCTGGGACCAACATGGCTACAACAACACTGCATACAAGAAAAGTAAATGTCATGTGGCTGCTTAAGACAGCGTTTCATACATTGTATAAGGAGCTTAATAGATTTTAAAGAGAAGCAAACAACGTTTGGATCCTCAGTAACCCAAGCTCCAATCCTGCAAGCTGTTTCATGTAGGCAGATACTTGTGTCCATGCAAAGCCACACTGAATAGGGCTCCACGCAGAAACGGTTGACAAACCCTAAAATGTGCTACAAGCTTTACATCCAAGTAAGAAAATGAGGTTCCTGCCCTGAAGAGTTTATAACCCATAAACCCCAATGGGTCCTACAATACATGAGTCCCGAAGAGCCATTTCTTCTGTGATGGCCACAAGTGGCTAGTTAATAAAAATAAAAACTCAGATCTCTCTTGTGGGCTTCTCAGTAGATCCTGTCTTCCCTATCCTTACAGGCCTTATCCAGCCAAAAATACACGTGAGTAACTTCACGCACATGAGTAATCCCATTTACTACAAAGGAACATTTGCACAAGTAAAAGGTTAGCTAGATTGAGCCTTTACGGACAATTTGTAGGCAGAGAATAGGAGAGGAGATGAAGTGAGCAGCATGCGAGACACGAAGATTTGTATGTTGTAAACAAAAGTGCCTTTACTGGCTACTAATTACATCTGGGTTATTAAAAGCAAGAGAATTCAAAAAAGCCCAATTTACTATTAATGCACTTTGGTTACTTTCTGCATTTCATAGAATCATAGAATATCAGGGTTGGAAGGGACCTAAGGAGGTGATCTAGTCCAACCCCCTGCTCAAAGCAGGCCCAATCCCCAACTAAATCATCCCAGCCAGGGCTTTGTCAAGCCTGACCTTTCTTTCAGTTCGGACAAAAAAAATTACTTTCTGCTTCATATGTAGCCAGTGTAATTTTTGCTCACATATAATGACGTGCTGTAATGCTGGGGTTTCAAACATTTCTGTGGAATATGTTTTTATTATTATCTATTTGTATTACAGTAGTGCTAGGGGCACCATCCAAGACACAAGCCCCACTGTACAAGGCACTGTACAAAGACATGGGGGGGGGGGGGGGGGGGGAAAACAGGCCATTCCGCAAAGAGCTTACAAACTGTGCTCAAGAGCTATCTGCATTATTATTTTAATGCGGTCTTTGGTTTGGACAAAGCTTGTTTCCACAACAGTGTGGAGCAAGTTTAACTTGACAGCATTCTGCATGGTCAATTTCACTGTCGAATGAACCTTCTTTGTTTTTAGGTAAAGGTGACTGTGAAACCATGAACGCTGCCGGCGTGGGACATCACCAGGCGTCACACAGGGAGCAAGGCGAATAGCTGGCTGACACCAGCGTGAATATTCTGGATGCAGGTGTGTGCTCACGTGTGTGTCAGTCGTGATAACCTACTTACCTGGGCTACGTGCGGCTTTCTCCCCCCCCTTTTGGAGCAGCAAACGAAGGGTCTGTTTTTCATGCCCACCATGTTTCGGGGGAGAGGATGGGGATTTGACGACTGGGGGGGTGGGTGTATACAGATGCACACCCACATGTATTTCATAGCAGGGATGGGGTCTTCATACTGGTCTGTACAGCGCCTAGCACAGGGTGGGGCTGCACTGACATGACTCCCCCCCCCATGGCTTTTCAACCTCTGTTAGCCATGGGGGGCCCCCAGTCACCCATAGGGCCAAGCTCAGGCTGCACGGGGGGGGGGGAAGTGGCTCCATCCCCTCCGACAGGGCAGGGGACGAGGGGCCGGATCGGGCCCTTGGGCTCGGGCAGGCGCAGCCGCGCTTCGGGAATAGCCCCCTTACGGCCGCGGAGCCCCCGCTGCGCCTTAGCGACCACGCCAGCCCCCGCGCCGGCCCCTGGCAACCAGCTAGGCCGCGGCCTCCCCGGCCTTTCCCACCCGCCGCGGCCGGCCCGGGGAGCCCGCGAGGCGGGGACGGGGAGCGCTTACAGGTCGGCGCCGAGCTGCGTGAAGCCGGAGTTGAGGCAGCCGCGGGCTATGCGCCTCCAGAGCGGGTCCCGGCCGGAGAAGGCGCGCAGCCGCCGGCAGACCTGGCCCAGCCGGCCCAGGGCCTGCGCGTCCAGGTAGGAGCAGATGAGCAGCAGCAGCTCCTCGGGCAGGGCCCACAGGAGGGAGGGGCGGGCGGCCCCGCATCCCCCCTCCGCCTGGGGGGGCCGCGGGCTGCCCTTCCTCCCCATGGAGCAGCAGCCCCTGCCCCTCCTCCCCGGGAGCCGGAGCTGCTGCTGCCTGGGGGAGGCCAAGCCATGGACGGGGGCAGCCTCTCCCCAGTCACATGGGGCAGGAGCCGCTGCCTGTCACTCCCCAGACAGACAGGGCCTGGCCAGCTGGCTAATTAACTCAGTCCTTGGGCCCATGGCTCATAACATCCTGGGTGCCCCGGGGAGGGCTCCGCACCCACCCCCCGGGCAGGGCAGCCTCCCACCGCACAGCGGCCAGGGCAGCCAAATCTTCGTTAATAACGGACTAATGAGCCTCCCTCCGTGGCCGGAGCGGCCGGCCAACGCCGCCAGGGCACCGGGAGCGAGGGGTCGCTTCTCGCCCACCGAGGAAACGCGGCCCCACATGCCAGGGCAGGGAAAGAACCACTCATGTGCATTAACAATAACTTAACAATATCATCCGGGCCCCGAACGCCAGCATGACAAACACATGCACGCGCACACGGGGACAGGAAAAGAATAATTAATCATAATTAATAACTAAGTCATTAGTGCCATCCTGCAGGAGCCTGGACTGATGGGGACATGGATCGCTCCTGAACGAATGCGGAAACACAGCCCCGCACGCACTGGAGCAGGCACATATTATATTATTTATTATTAACAATCTATTAATATGATATGTTTTCATAGCAGCTTCCACCCAGTCTGGAGCGTTTTATACAGGGAAGGCTCCTAACCCAAAACAGACATGCAGCCCCACTCTCCCCACTGGGGTAAACAAATAATCTAACAATATCATACAAGCCCATAGCACCTTCCACCTGCTCAGAGTGCTGTATACAGGGATTGCTTACCAATCATAGAACTCCAAACCTGCCCCACAGTTAAAAAGGCAAATCATTATTAATTGATGTCATATGATCACCTCAGAATATAATAGGATGACCATAAGAGAAGGCCTTTATTCAATACTTAGGTCTTGATCCAGAAAAACACTGAAGTATGTGCTTAACCTTAAGCACTCAAGTAATTTTCTTGACTAAATTATCAGGTCCGGATAACTTGCATCCAATAGTTTTAAAAGAGCTGGCCGAGGAGCTCTTTGGAGCATGAATGTTGCTTCTTAATAGGTCTTGAAACACTGAGAAAGTTCCAGAGGAATGGAAGAAAGCAAATATTGTGCCAAAATTTTAAAAGGGTAGACAGGATAGCCCCATTAATATCGGCCTGTCAGCCTACCTTTGATACCAAGCAAAATAATAGAGTGACTGATACAAGACTCACTTAATAAAAAATTAAAATAAAGTAATATAATTAAGGCCTAGCAACATGCATTTATGGAAAATAGAGCTTATCAAACTAACTTGATTTTTTAATGAGGTTACAAGTTTGATTGATAAAAGTAATAAGGCTGATGTAATATTCGTAGACTTCCATAAGGAATTTGACTTGGTACTCCATGACATTTTGATTAAGAAATTAGAATGATGCAAAATCAACATGACATATTAAATGGATTAAAAACTAGCTAACTGATATGTTTCAAAATATACGTGTAAATGAGGACTCATCATAGAGCAGGTGTATTTCTAGTAGGATCTCGGAGGGGTTGATCCTTGACCCTGTGGTGTTTAAGATTCTTATCAATGACCTACAACAAAACATAAAATCATTACTGATAAAGTTTACAGATGACACAAAAATTGGTAGAGTGGTAAGTAACGAAGAGGACAGGTCATTGATACAGAGCGATCTGGATCTCTCTGTAAGCTGGGCACAAGCAAACAATATGTGTTTCAATACAGCCAAATGTAAAGACATATATCTAGGAACAAAGAATCGAGGCCATATTTACAGCATGGGAGTCTATCCTGGGAAGCAGTAACTCTGAAAAAGACTATGGGGTCCTAGTTGAAAATCAGCTGAACATGAGCTCACAGTGCAATGCTGTAGCTAAAAGGGTTAATGCGATCCTTGGATGCATAAACAGGGGGAAATTGAATAGAAGTAAAGAGATTATATGACCTCTGTATTTGGCACTGGTGTGACTGCTGCTGGAACACTTGTCCAGTTCTGGTGTCCACACTTCAAGAGGGATGTTAATAAATTGGAGAGGATTCAGAGAAGAGCCTTGAGAATGATTAAAGGATTGGAAAACCTGCCTTATAGTGACAGACTCAAGGAGCTATATTTATTTAGCTTATCAAAGAGAAGGTTAAATAGTCTATCAATATATCTACATAGGAAACAGAAATTTGCTAATGGAGAGCTCTTCTGTTTAGCAGACAAAGGTTTAACACGGTCAAGTGGCTGGAAGTTGAAGTTAGACAAATTCAGATATAAGGCACAATTTTTAAACAATGATAGTAATTAGCCATTGGAACAATTTACCAAGGGCTGCACTAGATTCACCATCACTGTTTTAAATCAAAATTGGATGTTTTTCTAAAAGATATGCTCTAGCTATTGGACAGGAAGCAGGAATTAATTCAAGAAAGGTCTATGGCCCATGTATGCAGGAGGTCAGACTAGATGATCACAATGGTCCCTTCTGGCTTTGGAATCGATGAAGTTAAACATGTATGTAAGTCCAATAAAGAGGTACAGAACTAAGAAGTATTTGGATCAGCTAAAAGGTCTATTTGCAAGCAGTAATTATGCAAAGGATCAGATATAGGACAAACACAGTACTATGAATAAAACATTGTGGGGTTATGCACCTTAAAAATAAGTAGGGCTGTCAAGCGATTAAAAAAATTAATCACGACTAATCGTGATTAAAAAAATTAATCACAATTAATTGCACTGTTAAACAATAATAGAATACCATTATTTAAATATTTTCGATGTTTGCTACATTTTCAAATGTATTGATTTCAATTACAACACATTGCACTGTAAAAAAACAAAAGAAATCGTATTTTTCAATTCACCTAATACAAGTACTGTAGTGCAATCTCTTTTTCATGAAAGTTGAACTTACAAATGTAGAATTATGTACAAAAAAAACTGCATTCAAAAATAAAACAATGTAAAATTTTAGAGCATGCAAGTCCATTCAGTCCTACTTCTTGGTCAGCCAATCACTCAGACAAACAAGTTTGTTTACATTTTCAGGAGATTATGCTGCCCGCTTCTTGTTTACAACGTCTCCTGAAAGTGAGAACAGATTTTCTCATGGCACTGTTGTAGCCGGCATCGCAAGATAGTTACATGCCAGATGTGCTAAAGATTCATATGTCCCTTCATGTTTAAACCACCATTCCAGGGGACATGTATCCATGCTGATGACAGGTTCTGCTCCATAACAGTCCAAAGCAGTGCAGACCGACGCGTGTTCATTTTCATTAACTGAGTCAGATGCCACCAGCAGAAGGTTGATTTTCTTTTTTGGTGGTTCCGGTTCTGTAATTTCCACATCGGAATGTTGCTCTTTTAAGACTTCTGAAAGCATTCTCCACACCTTGTCCCTCTCAGACTTTGGATGGCACTTCAGATTCTTAAACCTTGGGTCGAGTGCTGTAGCTATCTTTAGAAATCTCACATTGGTCCCTTATTTGCGTTTTGTCAAATCTGCAGTGAAAGTGTTCTTAAAACGAACAACATGTGCTGGGTCATCATCCGAGACTGCTATAACATGAAATATATGGCAGAATGCAGGTAAAACAGAGCAAGGGACATACAATTCTCCCCCAAGGAGTTCAGTCACAAATTTAGGTTTGTTTGTTTTTTAAAAAATGAGCGTCATCAGCATGGAAGTATGTCCTCTGGATTGGTAGCCGAAGCATGAAGGGGCATACGAAATTTTAGCATATCTGGCATGTAAATACCTTGCAATGCTGGCTTCAGAAGTGCCATGCAAATGCCTGTTCTCACTTTCTGGTGACATTGTAAATAAGAAGGGGGCAGCATTATCGCCTGGAAATGTAAACAAACTCAGCAATTGACTGAACAAGAAGTAGGACTGAGTGGACTTTTAAGCTCTGAAGTTTTACATTGTTTTGTTTTTGAGTGCAGTTATGTAACAAAAAAAATCTACATTTGTAAATTGCACTTTCAGGACAAAGAGATTGCACTACAGTACTTATATGAGGTGAATTGAAAAATACTATTTCTTTTGTTTATCACTTTTACAGTGCAAATATTTGTAATAAAAAATAATACACACTTTAATTTCAGTTACAACATAGAATACAATATATATGAAAATGTAGAAAAACATACAAATATTTAATAAATTTCAATTGGTATTCTATTGTTTAACAGTGTGATTAAAACTGTGATTAATCACGGTTAATTTTTTTAATCATGATTCATTTTTTTGAGTTAATCACATGTGTTAACTGCGCTTAATCGACAGCCGTAAAAATAAGCTTTGTGTACTAGTATAGATTTTTACCCTTCAGCATAATCGCAAAGACTAAGGGCTTGTCTACACATACAGTGCTTCAGCAGCGTAGCTACATTGTGTCTGGTGAAGGCGCTCTATGCGGATGAGAGAGAGCTCTCCCATTGACATAATAAAACCACCTCCGTGAGAGGTGGTAGCTCTGTCGGCGGAACATAGCACTGTCCACGCCAGTGCTTGTGTCAGTGTAACTTACATCGCTCAGGGGGGTGATTTATTCACCCCCCCGAGTGACATAAATTATGCTGACATAAGCCATAGTATAGGCGTAGCCTAAATCTTTTCAGAAAGATACTAGCACCATTCTATTATTTTAGAAAGAAAGAAAGAAAGAAAGAAAGAAAGAAAGAAAGAAAGAAACTGAATGGTTCCAATGCTGCAAGCATGTATTCCCAGGCATAGTTCATACTACTGTGACTTCAATGGGACTGTCTATGTTATCTACCCACATGACATACAACCACAAAGTATCGAAATGCTTATTACCTACAGACTGCTCACAGTAGTAGGGACTACAGGTAAGTGAGTGTTTGCAGCATCAGACCCTAAGAAGCCACTGGAACTACTCTACTCATGTGTGTAAAAGCAAGCATGTAAAAATGTTTGGAGGATCAGGACATAAGGAAGCACTTGGGGATCTTGCCTGTTACTAATAAACATACATCTATCATTATCACTTTTGTTTTATTGTTTATATTGCACTCACCTGAGGCCCCATTGTGCTAGGCACTGAATAAACATATAGCAAATTACATTTTCTGCCTCAAAAAGCTAACAAGCTAAGGCCCCAATCCTGTCATGGGCAATGACTGCGCAGAGCCTCATTGAAGTTAGCAGGGCTCTGGGCTGGCACAGCAGGAGCAGGGCCTAAATGAGCAGTTACAGTCTGAAAGCTTCTAAGGTAATGGTAAAAGTCAGTCAACTGCAGCATGTAAGAAATACCATGTCAATACCTGCCCATCATTTGCTTGCTATCTCCTTTCCACGGGCTTTTATTCATCTCTGTACTGCCCTCCAATATACCTTTCCAGCTAAAGACACAGTCAAGTGGACAGGGTTTGGTTTTGTTTTTCTTTTCACCCAACGCTTTTGTATATTTCTGAAACTTAAGCCACCGCATATACTACTACAGTACTTATCTGTAACACCATCGCTTTGAGGGATTAAAGCAGGTTACTTGTTACACACTTAGATCAAGCGTTATCTGAGTAGAGAGTCTACTCCGTTAGGGATGGCGGAATCTGTTTTTGATCTTGAGTTGTTTTGATTTTCTCTGAGAGCGGTAACATGTTATTTTAACTTCTGAATAAGGTGTGCTACCTGACTGAGTCTCTTCTCTTCTTTGGCAGAAAGGATTAGAAACCTCCACCGAACTTGCACTCTATTAAAGCAGAGTGCTCTCCATTGAGCGCAAGGAGCTGAATTGTTTTCAGATTACATGTGTGTGTGTGTCTTTCCCACATCAAAGACTTTGATGGAAGCTGTTCACACTATTGTCAGGAATGCAGGGATTGGCGCAAAGGTGATTAGCAAAATTGCTTTTCTGCAGGAGAAGCACAAAAAATTATTGAGGGATTAAAGAGGATAAAAAGAAGGTTATGTTGAATATGAGGTAAAATCTTCTGCTGTTTTTTTCCAAATCATGCTTCATGGATTTGGTTTAGTCTCCATAAAAATAAGGCAGAACAAATCAGAATTAAAAGCTGCTTTGTACAAAGTGCCATTAAAGGGGCAAAAATCTCATATATTACTATATACATCTCTCCCCCGATATAACATGAATTCGGATATAACATGGTAAAGCAGCGCTCCGGGGAGGCGGGGCTGCGCACTCCGGCGGATCAAAGCAAGTTCGATAGAACACGGTTTCACCTATAACGCAGTAAGATTTTTTGGCTCCCGAGGACAGCATTATATCGGGGTAGAGGTGTATATCTATTGGTCCCTATCCTGTGAGGTACTCAACATCTTCTGCAAGAAGCTGAGAGCCCTCAGTGGGAGCTGAGGGGAATTATCACGTCTCACAAGCTATTACACGTTTCCAGGATGGGGCCCTTTATTACTAATATATTAAGAGAAAGAATTTTACAAATCTAACTTTTCTGTCATCGTGGAAGTTGTTCGATTGCTTTTTGCGCTACACTCAGCTCATAGTGATGTTAGGCTGATGGTTAATTTCATTTTCCACTTGCCATACCTGGACAATACTTATACATTGGCCTCAGCAGCAGAGCTGGTTGAATAGGTTTTTTTAAAAATTTAAAAACCCAAATATTTTGGTCAATGAAACCTAACAGCAAAGCTTCCGAAAGCTCTGTCTTGGCAAAGCTGCAGTGTAATAAAAGTATATCCTCAGCTACAGTCAGTAAAACTGCATCATCTCCTTTTTTTCAGATTTGGCATTGACAGTTCATTTATTACTAATTTATTTGAATGATTATTATTCATTAAGTTCCAAAACCGCAGGCGTTCCTTTACTTTGGATTCTGATTTTGTTATTGTTTTGTTTTGTTAATTTGCTACTTTCTTGAAGTCAATCAACTGATTTTATTTATTTATTAACCTTGTTTTTCAAAGAATTATCTGAAGAATCTATTTAGAAAAAAGTTTAAATTAACTGTTTTCGCAACAGTAACTCACTCCCCCCACCCGACCCCCCTCAGCCACATAAGGTTGTCACTCACCAGACAGCTGTGGGATTCTGAATGATTCAATTTAAAACGCTTTTCAATTCCAAATGCTAGATTTCTACTGGTGCAGTATGATTGCCGCACACAGATTGAGAAACTCCCCAACCCTCCAGGCTTCAAAGCCTGGTCACCCTTGATCTCCAAAAGGAATGTTTTTGAGTCTTGTGTCTTCTCGGGGCTACCTACAAACATATTTTAGGCTTTTTTCTTTCTCACTTGGAGCCTGTTGGAGTCAGTGATAAAACTCCCATTGGCTTCTTTGGGAGCATGCTCAGGACCCCGTTCAGTGAGATGTTGTTTCGAGGGGTCGTCACCCCACTCTTCACATATTTCATAGGTACACTCCACAGCTTTAGTCTTCAGCAACTAGAAATTCACAGAACCAGGGTTGCTCGAGTTTCTAGGCTTGCTTCTCCTTATTGTAGAAGATGGTAAGAGTCAAAGGAGCACGTCAGAGACATTCCTTTCTTGTAGACTGGACTTTTTTCACCAGAAGGCTGCAGCTCTTTTGCGGCTACTTATTTTGGCTAGTTCTGGTGTTTCTTATTATTCGGACCTAGACTCAGCAGTGATTTGGTTTGTAGGGTGAATGTGACACCGATACCTATATAAAGCAATAGGAGCTTATTCAGTGCTGGAAACCAACATTTTGGTGCAATTCTCAATTTATCCCATGCTGATCTCTAAGGACACTATCCTCTCCTCCAAAACTCTCCTAAAGACCAACCTCTTCCATGAAAACCATTTGAAAGGATCATTTGAGAGGCAGTTAGGGAGAACTGTGTTGTCTTGTATTTCTAAGTAAACAAAAATGTCTATAATGCAAATAGAAAAATAGTACAGAATGAATTGAATCCCTCCCCGTGACAATTGTTTTGTTAGGCCCGAATCCTGCATGAGTGCATTGGTCCATGCTAGCAGATCCAGTTGCAAGATTGTAAGAGTCTTGGGACAGGGACAATGTCTTTCAATGTGTCTCTTCAGTGTCTAGTACAATGGGACCCCTATTCTGTTCAGGGCCCCTCGGTGTTACTGTAATGCACATAAATACTAACTAGTGCTCAATCGTTATAATAAATATATGTAGATAAAAATCTAAAGCCAATGCGCTAACCTAGCCTCCAGATTTGTAATTACAATGCGCTAACCTAGCCTCCAGATTTGTAATAACAACAATAACAGATTTGTAATAACAAATAATTGCAAACATAGTTTATGGGCCAGAGGAGGGGACTCAGATCCTCACTTACATGGGATTCTTAGGATCATGCAAGTCCCACCTCTCCTTTGGAAAGACTACTTTTGGTTTATTTGTTTAGATCAGTAAAAAAAATCCCACATCCCAAAATAAAGAATGTTTTCCTTCGGCACTGCAAACATCCTTGATAGCTTTAACATCTGCTGGACAATGTATGGATGAGAGGCAGGCAGGTCACACAGTTCTGTGACAAACATGTGTGTACAGCGTGTCGGATTATAAATCCAGGAATAAAGAGCTATTAAACCCCCTTTTCCAGCCCACCTGCCACGCAAAAAGGCCTTTCACTTTGAATTGATCTATTTAAATAGAAACAAGAATTGGGAAGGAAAACGCCAACATCCCAAAGTCTCAAGTCAAATCCTCTCCATCTGATACATTCTGTCAGCTGCAAGCAAACTGATTCACTGTCTATCTTTCTCCAGGATGTGTGGACTACCCTGTGTGAGTATGCTTGCGGTTCAGGCAAAACATAAGGTTATATGGCTCAGGAATCTTTCAAGTAACATTTGTATCTGTCACTAAATTGATCTTAAGCCCCACCTAACCCTTAGATATGTTTTCTCTTTTGCCCGCGTGTTAGAGTGCTTGATGCAATATTTGGCTGAGAACTCCAGCGAGATCAGCTGTGCCACCCAGCAGAGCTAGAGCTCTCAGAGCTCCACCTTGAGTGCAAAAGTCTTTCTGGTCTTTGGAATGCAGAACGAGAGGAAAAAACTTTAGGCCAATTTCCCCCCTGGAACAACTCTAATGAAATCAGCCAGGTTACAGCAGCGATAAATTTGGCCCTGTGCTTTTAGCTTTGCTCTGTGATTGCAATGGACTCACTGTTGATAGTTTCTCTGAATTATTTGAATTACATAAAAATGCAGTTAGAAATTCAGAACAAACATCCAGTGCAGAATGCCTCATAATCCAGAGCACACGTTGCCTAATGGTTACTGCAGGAGAACGGGAGTCTAGTCTCCCAGGTTCTGTTCTGAACCCTGACATTGGTGTGAGTATTGCATGACATGGGCAAGTCACATTGCCTTTCACTGTCTCACTTTCCCCATCCACAGAATATAACAAGATTTACCACTTCACAGAGAGGTTGAGAGTCTTGAGGTTGTTTTAGTACCATTGGGATGAAAGTTCTTTTAAGAGGCAAAAATAACCCAACTTTTCAATAGGGCCAAAACCCAGCCTCTGCTGGTGCACATGTGATTGCAACCAGAACTTGCCAGTACTGACACCTACGCATGTTTATTCAAATACCTGGGCATGCAAGTCATAGAACCCTAATGTGCGAGACCCATTGGTCCAATGGATTTGCCCACAGATGTTCGCGCATGTAAAGTGTACATGCAGGTGTGTGCACAGGCAGACTTGCATGAGCACAAGCAGAGCCAGGGTTCAAACAGCAGGGCCTTTGAGCCTTAACCTGACACTCCCCCTTTAAAATCAGAGACACTGACATCAAAGTTTTCCCCTCACCAGAAGAAACCGGCTATTTTGCACCCTTCCAAGCTATGTTTCTCATCTCCCCGCCATTCCTACTGCCTTGTCTCTCTTGCTTTTTCTAACACTATCCCTCCCGCTCCACTTCAAACCCTGGGAAAAACCTAGGAAAAGCAGCTTGCTGACTAAGGGGCCATTTCGTTGCATTGTGTTTTCCAGCTAGACCTGAACAGACTGAAATCAATTCAGCTCTCTCGCGCTCTCCCTCCCTCATGTCTTTTTTTGTTTCTCTTAGATTGTGCCCTCTGCCTTAAGAAAGCCCAGTTTAGTTACATCCCCATAGCAATCAAGTGACCAGTAGTTTCTGTTTTTTGTAAAAACAGTGCCCTTTTCATGGGATTCAGGTTCCTCCTGAGTTTGAAATGCCCATTGAGCAGGGGTAACAATCTGCAGAATCTTTGATCAATTCTTGTGTATTCATTTTAGATATTTCTAATGGTCACATCACCCGGAGAAATATGCGCTTTTGTACTAATATTAAAACATTGTATCAGCCATCCATTATATTACTGTCACTGAGACCAGATTGAACAGAAGTACACACAAACATCTGTCTGATCTGTGTAGCTATGTATCCTGAGAAATACGCTTATTATTATTGAAGTCCAAGGGTTTCCATTCTAAGATCCTTTTTGCAATTCCTTCTAACTTTCTAAAGTTTTCAATATGAAATTTTCCAGTCTTGATCCCATACCACAGTTATGAATGCAATATAAGAACAAGAAGAGAATAAAATAAGGTTTTTGGACGTTTGAACAAGCATGGTTAAGCACAGTCCACCTGGGTGCACTAAATGAAGCCCGGTCCTGTGGAAATAATTATATGGGATCATAGAATTAAGGGTTATATCCTATTGCATCCTCACAACGGAACAGCATCAAGGTTGCATGTGCAACCTTAACTTTGTTGTCTCCTGATTCTTTTGAGTGCTTAACTGGGCAAACGTTGTGTTTTCTTAGCGTAGATTTTCTTTTTTCTTTTACAATGGAATGTAGCTTTACAGGCAGACATCCTCAGCGGGTGTAAATTGGCACAATTCCATTGCAGTCAACAGACCCAGGCCCTTGACACCCGCTGAGGATCTGAGCCAGAGATGAGATGTGTGCGCACGCCCGCAGCACTGAACTGCTATTCTAGCCCTAATGACAAGAAGAGAGTGGGGGTTTTATATATATATTTATTTCTTTTAATTTAGAAGAAAATATTAAAAGCCAGCCTTGAGTATCTCTACCACGTCTTTAAGAAGATACATCCAGCAGCCACGCCTTACCATATAACATAAAATGAACATAAGAACATAAGAACGGCCGTACTGGGTCAGACCAAAGGTCCATCCAGCCCAGTATCCTGTCTACCGACAGTGGCCAATGCCAGGTGCCCCAGAGGGAGTGAACCTAACAGGTAATGAGCAAGTGATCTCTCTCCTGCCATCCATCTCCACCCTCTGGCAAACAGAGGCTAGGGACCCCATTCCTCACCCATCCTGGCTAATAGCCATTAATGGACTTAACCTCCATGACTTTATCTAGTTCTCTTTTAAACCCTGTTATAGTCCTAGCCTTCACAACCTCCTCAGGCAAGGAGTTCCACAGGTTGACTGTGCGCTGTGTGAAGAAGAACTTCCTTTTATGTGTTTTAAACCTGCTGCCCATTAATTTCATTTGGTGGCCCCTAGTTCTTATATTATGGGAACAAGTAAATATCTTTTCCTTATTCACTTTCTCCACATCACTCATGATTTTATATACCACTATCATATCCCCCCTTAGTCTCCTCTTTTCCAAGCTGAAAAGTCCCAGCCTCTTTAATCTCTCCTCATATGGGACTCCTTCCAAACCCCTAATCAAATGACCAACTAAACCCACAGAACACTTACAGCTTGAAAGTTTAAAATGCTGCACCGTCTCCAGTTAGTTCCCATCCCCCCACCCACCCCCCCAAAAAAGCCCTGGTCCCAAGATGAAAGGCAGCAGCTGCTCCAACCAAGGTGGGGGCAGAGTTGCAACGTTCAGGAGCCCTCACAGATGATGTCATGCCAGCAGCTTCCTCTTTTGTAAACCCAGGTAGCTCGAGCTCCTCCACCGACCACAGCTGTGGCAGTCCGTCGCAGGGAGAGAGGTGTCTCCCAGGGAAGCAGGTCCCAAGCCTTTTAGAGCTTGCTAGGCCAAAAACCACCACCATAAAACCCACCTAGAGCTGAAAAGGACTCAAGTGCAAATCACAGACTAGTGTCATGTGGTCACAGAGGGCTACACTGCTTAACAAGGGGCTAGCCACCCGCTGCACCAGCTTTGGTGTCCAGGTGGATGTTAAGTACAGCCCCAAATACAGCACATTGTCTAATGTTGAAATATCATTTCTATTCAAAGAGATGGTCTGATTTTTTAAATCGCGGCGCACCCAGCTGAAGATGGGGAGTGCTAGTGAGTACGCAGCACCTCTGGAAACTGGGCCTGGATTGCAGTTCAAACTTTAGGCTCTTAAGGTTGCACATGCAACTGTAACTCGGCCACTTGTGCTTATTCCCTGTGAGAGAATCTTTGGCTACACGGTCCCATTGGATTTCACAAATAAGACAGAACCCAGTTTTTTATACCACTTCAAACACACTCTTTCTTACGGACAACAGTTTTCTTGTCAAAACTTTAACCATTTACACATTTTAACTAAGTTCTCTTGCATGTTTGAATAAGTCTGCCAGTGTCCTGGACATTATCTGTTTGTTCCCAACCAGCAGCACAGCCTTGCTGAGACATTTCAGGAGTGAAGGTGATTAATTATGAAGCTAGTTTTGCACATCTGGCTGCTCCACCTCCGGCTGTGGCCCTCCTAGCACTCAGGCATGGTGCTGCGGGCAAGCCCTGCCTTAGGCACGCCCTCACCGCGGGCTAGACAAGTCCAAAACAGACCTTCTGGGCATTAACAAGCATCCCCCTCAGAAGGGCTCATTTATTAACAACAAAGAGTAACATACGCTCAAGCAAAACCAGTTGTTCAGGCCCCTCTTGGGAAATCCAGTCTCTCAGGGTCAGTCCAACTAACTGCTTGGTCCTTTAGCCACGGGGCACTCAGCCCAAGACCCTCATCTGAAGCCAGGGCTTCTAGACTACTCCTGCTCCCTTCCCTTGGAAAACAGCCTCTAGTTCCTTCTGTTCAGGAAACTTCTGCTCTCTCCACCACGGGAACAGTCTCTCTCTCTCTGGAGCCCTCCCAGTTCCTTCCTGTGGAACACTCTCCCTCTGGGGTTGCCGTCCCCCTCCAAGCATCTTCTCCTCAGAGGCACCTTCCTCCTGGCAATACCAAGCTCAGGCAGCTGTTTTATAGGGTGCAGTTGCTCTTCTACAGAACAAGCACCTGGGGCAACCAGTTACTGCCAGGTGGGTCTTCAGAGAGCTGTCATGGGCAGGCGAGGTTCTGACTCCCCTTAATGGGACAATTGTCCTGTGACAGCACAGCAGGGCAGACTTCCAGGTGGAAGGAAAAGGCTAAGGGCTTTAACTACTAAGATAATTTAGCAACAATTTTAGATGGTTTATATATGCCAGCAATTATTTTTTCCTGTTGTTTGTATTTAATATACAGTGTATTCTGTCAACGGTTTGCTGTGTACTTTTCTTATAAATGAGTTGATGAGGCTGTACTGCGTGTCTACAGAGTAGTGCAGAATACTGCAAGATGTTATCTAAGGCTGTAGAAAAACGGTATGAGAATATATTGTCTAGAAGGAGAAATAGCATGTGATCATAGAAATCTATCCGAATGCATACACACAAGAGAGCAGAGTGCATTTCCTGATTGCAGGGCTTACCCGAACATACTTAATGATCTTTTAACACAGCATTTTTGTGGAATTTCCTAGGTTGTTTTTAAAGATGGCAGAAAATAGAAAAAACCATAAAAAGAGAGACAAGACCAAGTTTTAAACTGACCCGGGGCCAATTTTTCAAGTGCGCAGCACTTACAATTGGAGCCAGATTTTCCCAGCTGACGTGCTATCCTAACTGCACTGAGCTGGTCTGAAAGTCTGACCCTGACTAGGGTGCTGAGCCCAGCTGGAAATTCCAGCCTCTCTCTTCAGGCCTTCAAAGCTCTGCTAGCTTGCAAAATATTGTCCATAATGCATGTAAACGCCATAGTGTGGGACCGTTGTGCTAAACACCACTGGAATGCTCTGCCTTACGAGGTCTGTGAGGAGCTCCTTTCCTGTATGTCTTGGGAGATTGTCAGGGGAGAAGACCCTTCTCCTGCAAAACATCTAGATAATGCCCGCAGATGCTGGTGACAGAAGGTTGAAACCAGGAGACACAATCTAAGAAATAAAACATGAAAGATCAAACGGGATTTGGGCGGGAAGGATTCCTTCTCAAAGTCATAACAAGCAGATGGGCAAGAAGGGCCACACCGGCACACAGAACTATGAACATAACATAAAGGCAGCAGCTAGACATTGTTAGGAAGACAGAGGAGAGAGGGATACAGTGGGAAAGCCGGGAGATGGCGTTGAGACACTTTGGGGAGGGGGGTAGGTTCGTTGGGCCAAGTGACCTTTTCCCATCCAGCAATTTCTTCTGTCCCAGTGCAGATTGACAATGGAAGCCCAATGGCAGCACAATCTGACATCCCCGTTAATACCGAAAGAAATTCAATGAGATCGTGCTGTGCTGCTGTGAAACAAACCAGACCTGGGTTTCCAACTCGCCGCCTTTTCTGTTGTTGTTGTTATTGCTGTTTGTTTCCATTCACCCCCTGGATTCTCCATTTTCCCCTTTCTTGACTCTGATGGGGGCTCTTTTTGTGCACAAGAAGCCCTTCTGATCTCTTTGAAAGGCAAGCTCATGTCATTCTTCCAGATCATCATTGTATGACATGTTTTTATATCAGGCTGACAAAGGAGCTATTTGATCAGGGGGTATGGTGTGTGATTGTAAGAAATTCAGCTAGCCGGTGGCAACCATTGTTCCCCAAAGCGGCTCCCTGACCCCATTCTATTCAAGGAAAAACTCCCTTGGAGTGGCCTCTATTCATTGAGTAACACCAGTCTGCGGTCTCACTCCAGGAGCATGCTCAATTCAGAGGTATGTCACCGATATCGCCCATCAGCCAGCCTTTAACTCTTTCATCAGCATTAGGTTTCCAACACAACAGCTGTTATCATGGGGATGAGCTTGGGAGGTGTGGGGGGGTGGGTGCATTCCAGCTCACTCTAGCTCTCCTTATCTTGGAGAAATTTAACCTTCCCTTCAAAAGTTCGTTTGGAAATTACCCGTCTGCTGCTTTGCACAGACCATGGCCTGAGTTTCACGTCCTTGATTCCTAGCTGCCCATTTTGTTGTGCAAATTCTTAAATGAGTAGGCTCTGTATGGGCCTGAGCCGAAGCCCATTCGAGTCACTGGGCACCTTTCAGTTGACTTCATTGGTCTTTGAATCAGGCCCTAAGTAAACAGTTAAACACCCAACTGCCCAATCCACAACCCTGGTTTGCACAAGTAGTCCTTATTCATGTGAGTAGCCCTTGGTTGCAATGGGACTACTTGCAAGGTGAAAGCTTTCAGGACTGAGCCTCCAGTTTGGCCTTCAGAGAAGTTTCTGCCATGCTTCCTGTCTTGTTGTTAGCAGAAAAAGCTTAATGACGATGACCTGCTCCTCCATTCTAGCTGAGTGCCCCGTGCATCAAGATAGGACCTGATCTAAAGCCCATTGAAGTCAGTAGAAGACCCCCATTGGCTTTAGGGGGCTTTGGATCAGACCCACAGTGCTCCATCTATAGCGACTACAAAGCATTGCCATCTGACCACTGTCCTGTGGTCCATGTGAGGTGAGATAGGGGGCGGAGTCCAATTTCAACTGTCATCTATGCTTCAAAGCGAGGGGCTAGTGCAAACGGGAAAAGGACAAAGATTTGGCATCCAGGTAATTTTTGTTGTTGAGTATTGTATAAATGTTCCCAAAGGGAGGATGAAAACAACAAATGTTCCATGATTGCAGGTGCACAGGTGACCAATTGCTGCTTGAAGAAAGCACATGAAGTTTGATTGTATCCGGCGTGTCATGACTTTGCTACATTTTTCAAGGCAGAACTCGTTCACTACGCGATAAATACATCCTCTGGTGGCTCTCCACTCTCTCCAGCCATTGCTCTTCAGATTTCATGGCTTCTCAGAGTCTCTAGGCAGCTGGTCATTTCAGTTACATGTAGGACCTCCTAGTGATGTATCAGATTTCAGTCCTGAGTGCTTTCTGGTTTGCAATACAGTCTTAGTTTCAATATCACGATTGGGTTTGCCCCATCACTTGTGAGTGGGTGGCTCAGTAACAAGGTTCCCAGCTTCTAAGGTGGCCTCAGCTTGGCTCTGGATCCTTTGCTCTCTGGTTTGTCACCAGCTTGATATCAGCACATCTCTGGGGTTAGGGATTGCTAATGAGCTTGTGCTCCCTCTGCTGGTGCAGAGCACAAAATACTGGTGAGTCCGTCAGCAAACTACGGCTATTTCCTTGTTTGGTTTTCTCGTTTTCTCAGAGGCATTGGCGGAATATTTTTAAAAATATTTATAACCCCTGTTCTCCACCAGGTGATGAGTAAGAATAAGAATAATACTTTGTTTGATAGCACCTTTTCATCTGAAGTTTTCAAAGGTCATTGGAAATGTATATTAATTAAGCCTCATACTACCTCCCTGTGAAGTGGGTTCAGCATCATTATCCTAATCTTACAGATAGGAAACCGGAGGCACAGACATTGTAGTGGATTTGCCCACAGTCACACTGCGAGCCAACGCCAGAGCATTATTCCTAAATCCTCTGCTCTGATTCCCTAGAATACTCCACTCCCATAGGTCCTCACCATTTTAAGGTTTAAATTCAATGTTGAGCCTAAGCTATGTAGCAATGTCCCTTTAAAATGCTAGTTCTCCCTCCCTGGTGTCTTTGTGGGCTGGTCCACACTACCCGCCTAATTCGGCGGGTAGAGATCGATCTTCTGGGATCGATTTATCGCGTCTCATCTGGACGCGATAGATCGATCCCAGAAGCGCTCCCCCGTCGACTGCGGAACTCCTGCTCGCCAAGAGGAGGAAGCGCTGTCGACGGGGGAGCCTGCCTGCGTCGCGTGGACCCGAAGTAGGTACTTTTACTTCGATATAGGAAACGTCGACTTCAGCTACGCTATTCTCGTAGCTGAAGTTGCGTTTCCTATATCGATCCCCTGCCCCAGTGTGGACCAGCCGTGTGAATGAGGGATATGAGAATTCAAGGGGGAGGGATAGCTCAGTGGTTTGAGTATTGGCCTGCTAAAGCCAGGGTTGTGCGTTCAGTCCTTGAGGAGGCCACTTAGGGATCTGGGGCAAAGTCAGTACTTGGTCCTGCTAGTGAAGGCAAGGGGCTGGACTCCCTTCCAGCTCTATGAGATAGGTATATCTCCATATATTATTTATTATGAAGAGGTCCATTTTTCTCTTCATTCAGGCATGTAATCCTCAATGAGAGTCACCCGGGTGCACAGATAAGAGATCCCAAGGAAGGCAGCTTGGGTAGGAAGTGAGTTGCCACATCACATTTTCTTCACAACCTCTCCCAGCACTCAGAGAAGATTCTGCCACCCTGAAAGACCACACTAGCCTATGATCAACTGACTTACGAGGAAAGATGGAAAGACCCAAACATGGACGCTGGCAAGTGCTGATTCTGGTGGGGAGAGAGCAGGTATAACTGTCAATGTGCATTTCAGATGTGTAGGCCCCAAGGAAGGAGCAGAATTGATGAGGGTGTAGATAACTAGAAATGATCAGATGAAACTGAGCAAAGGAAAATGTAGGCTAAATATTAGGGAACAGTTAGTGACAATCGCACAATCTACTAGAGAAGAGCTGCAAGATCTAATGCTTGAGTAGACCAGACAAAGCCCAGGAGAAGATACTTCAGGGACTAATCATGTACTGACCAGGGACTTTCTATGTCTAGTTTCAGTGATTTTTATCATGCTGCAACGTCTTCCTGACCTTTAATCCATGCATATGGAGATTGTTGTTGCACCGATGGTTTCTCAATCAAGAGACCACGGTGAAGAGTAAATTAAAAGCATTTCCTCGGCAGATTTACTGTTGTGATTGGTCATTTCAGTGTTTCCTGCAGCAGTGAGAAATCTGGGGTTTAAACAGGGTGAGCTGGTTTCTGGGAAGGTCATACTCTTTCTCAGCAGCGTTTGGAATTCGGACCGGCACTCAAGTAGCTCAGGAAGGAGACGTCTTCCCTTCTGTGATGGGAATGTGGTTCACCTCTAATTCTGGATTCCAGCAGAGCCCAGCGTTCTGAGCCTGTAATATCAGCCCATTAAGAACATAAGAACGGCCAGACTGGGTCAGACCAAAGGTTCATCTAGCCCAGTATCCTGTCTTCCAACAGTGGCCAATGCCAGGTGCCCCAGAGGGAATGAACAGAACAGGGAATCATCAAGTGATCCATCTCCTGCCACCCATTCCCAGCTTCTGGCAAACAGAGGCTAGGGACACCATCCCTGTCCATCCTGGCTAATAGCCATTAATGGACCTATCCTCCAGGAACTTATCTAGTTCTTCTCGGAACCCTGTTATAATCTTGGCCTTCACAACATCCTCTGGCAAGGTGTTGTACAGGTTGACTGTGTGTTGTATGAAGAAATGCTTCCTTTTTTTTTAAACCTGCTGCCTATCAGTTTCATTGGGTGACTCCCTGGTTCTTGTGTTATGAAAAGGAATAAATAACACTTCCTGATTTACTTCTCCACACCAGTCATGATTTTATAGACCTCGATCATATCCCCCCTTAGTCGTCTCTTTTGCAAGCTTCTTCCCTGCCAGCTCCAATCTTGTAGACCAGTGGTCTCCAAACTTTTTTGATCGTGCACCCCATCAGTAAAAAAAATTTGAGCACGCACCCCCTGCCGCGCCAGCTCTACCATTTTTGCCGAAGGAGGGGAAAAAATAAAATAAAAAGCTGCTTGGACTCCCGCCCAAACTGACGAAGCAAAACAAAAACAAACCAATCACACCAGTGTAACCCAGAGTAACTCTTCTCTCGCCAGCAAAGCAACTCTGTATTTATACCAGAATAGCTGAGTTTGGAGCTCTTCAGAGATCCCTTCACTCACCATCTCGGAGATGGAATGGGTTGGCAGGTAGCAGCAGGCAGCCAGCACTACCCAACAGAATAACCCGGGAATAGCTTGCCCATGTCAAGGCGTTTTGGCTTCACCAGTCATTTGCCTGAGTAAGACTCCTCTGAAGAGTCAACAGCAAAGGCTGCAAGTTTGTCACCTCTGGAAACCTGAAGTGTCAGGAGATTTTAAATCCCCCATGTGCTTCCCTGTGAATTTTTAGTGCTAGGTTTTCTCTCTCTCCCCAGGACCGCTCATTCTAAGTGGAATGTGCTCTACCAAAGACCCTTATGGTCAGACCTTTCCCCTCCCAGCCCAAGTAAGCTGCGACAGCAGGTAAGGAATCTTTCGGCTGCTTCTCTGATTCCAACTAGAACGCAGTGAAGTCGCGGTTTGACCATCGCTAGCTCTGTCACCTTCCCTGATTGCCTGTGTTTGCTCACCTGTCATCAGAACGGGAGACTTCTGGGATCCTTTCACATCAACCATTACCATGGCACATGCAAAAGAAATGCAGTGGTGCCAAATATCACAATTTCATTGCGAGTTTCATGATAGCTGGTGTTTTTCTGAAAACTCCAGCTCCTGGAGTCATGTGATTAGCTGAAAATCCCAGGTGGTTTTTTTTTTTTAGTAAGGTTCTCACCTTCATAGTTGCTGAGAAAAGCTTATAAATGTGAAAACTGAGGAGTTAAAAAACAGAAATCAAATCAAATAATCCCAGGATTTATTACAGTATTTCTAAAATCTCATGATTTTTGAGCCAACCTGTGATTTGGGGGGGGGGGGGGGGCTGACTCATGACTCTTGAATGCTAGGGTTGGCAATACTGTAAATGGTATATTAATTCCACTATACCTGCTGCTGGTGTTCGAGAACCCAAGGCATCCCATGTTCCTACCATGACCACGAAGGGGCCATCTATGTTGGTTGGCCTTCAGGCTTCGGATGGTAAAACGCTCTGTTCTTACCGTTGGCTGAGAGGAACTTGGCTGGAACACAAGAGGCCGCTTTTCCAGCTACAGTCATCAAGCACCAGTAATCCCTCTGTGCTGGTGTCAAGTGCAAGGTGAAATCGTGACTCTGTTGGGGGAGAGAGGTGGTGAATTTGTCAGCGCCCAGTAATGATCTGTCTGAGTGGGAGTGAAGTGAGGACACGTCTCTGTGCTCCATGACGCAAGGCCTCATGGTGTGACCGCTACTAGCTTCCTCCAGGGGCTGCCCACTTGGGGCCTACTCAGTGTTTCTCTGCATCAGGCAGTAGGGGTTACCATGAAAGGGATTCTGTTATTTAACGTTTCTATCCTGGTGGCAGCAAAAGGCTGGAATCAGGTCAGTCCACATTGTGCCGGGTGCTGTACAAACATAAACTAAACAACAGGCACTGCCTCAGAAAGCTTCCCCTCTCTCCCCGCCCTCTCCACGGCACGCCCAGTCCCTGCTAGCTCAGCATGCCGGGGAGGTAGCTGGAAGATACCAGTGTAGTCAGACTGCTATCGTTATACTGCTACAACTTCCTGTGGGGACACTTAGTCAGGGATAAAAGGGCCTTTTTTTTAGCTTAGCTTAACCTGCCAGAAGAAGAGTATTCACATGGGGAGTTACAGTGGCGTAACTACAGCAGTTTAAATTCACATCTTCCCTTATACTGATAGAATTGTCCCATGTGAGCAGGCCCTGTCATTCCCCCACCCACACACACACTCCTTGACTATGTCACACCTAAGAGTAGTGGGCAACTGACAAGCAGCACAAAGACAGTGAATGGGGGAACAGGGAAGAGCATCTCAAACGGTTTTCAAATGCCCTCCCTGGCCAGCCCATAGAATTGGGAGCACTCCGGAGAGGCCATGTCCAGCCGTCTTGAGTTGGCACCACACGTGGGCTTGGAGGATGCAGAAATAAGGATGGCATTGAGGTAAGGGCACTGGAATGGGACTCAAGAGATCTGGGTTCACATTCCCAGCCCTTCCAAGACTCCCTGGGTGACCTAGGGCAAGTCAAATAATCATTCTGTGCCTCAGTTTCCCCATATGGAAAATGGGGGGTAATACTATTTTCTTTTTCCACATATGTCCATTTAGACTGTGAGCTCATGCTGTGCACAGCAGAGTCCTGGTTATTACTGCAATACAAATAATAAGGACTAGTAATCATGCGAAGGATCCAGGAAATACTCCGGAAAGTTTGTATCTGTTTCTCCTGCAGAACTCCCTGCTAAGGTTTTTGTTCAGTTGTCATGGCTGCTGAAAGCCAGGCGCCTGATGAGGGAACGTTTTAAATGTCTTAAAAAAAAAACCCTCAAACCAACAGCAAAATCAACCTGGTCTGTTTATAACTGACCTTTTCCATTCTGCCCGACAGAGTCTGGGCAGACCAACACCATCCAGCTAGGAGCCAACCACAGCAGGCCAAAAAGTACCACTCACCCCTCCTGCGTGGATGCGTTTGGCTGACAGCTGGAAAAAGAAAGAGCGACATTGAAAATGTGCTGGGCATGATCACATCTTGCGTATTTAATGCAAGTAGCTAAATTACTGAGCGGGATATACAGCAGATTTGCTCCTAGGACTGGGAGGCCATAGAGCCGGGTTCTAATTCTTGGCTCGTCTGGTGATCTTGGCTAAGTCACTTCCCCTTGGTGTGCTTCAGTTTTCCAATCTATAAAATGGGGTGAATAATACTGACCTACCTAACGCCGTCACATGGGGATGGGGAAGCTTAATGTTTGGAGAGCCTTGGATGGAAGAGGACAGTGTTATTTTTATTAGATACAAATAATAAACACCCCTTACTTATTTATACTGCATGCAGGAAATGTCTAATCTGCCTAATTATATGCAGAGAAGGTGTGCTGGGCTGGACTGCTACAAGGCTGTTACTGCCCTGAGTCTGAGAGAACCACATCACCCACGAGAGGGTGTTAAAAAAACAAGGGCACTGCACAATCGTCTTGTCAATAAAAAGATCGAGCTAGTTCTCGAAGTGACCTGGGCCTAAGTCACTTGGGCATTTTGAACGTTTTCCCCTAGTCCCTTACCCACGGCTATGCCCCCATGTGGGTGGTCACTGAGCATTCCTGGGCATGTATTTCACAAGGTCAAGACTGTTCTGCCTCTAGACCGTGTGTCCTCTGTATTTACAAAGTCTTTCCAAACAGGTGGCTGTCTTCCTCCTCCCTGGACATGCTACAGCTTGAATCGGCGACTTTGATCATAAGAAAAACATCCACGCAAAGCCCTTGAAGTAGCAGCAACGCTGTGTTAGCCCCAACCAGCCAGTCTGCGGTGCACAATGCAGCCCCAGACACTATAGCCACTGAGGTGTGTGGGAGGGTGAGGGGGGCTGGCCAACAAGTTTGAACAAAATTAAGAACTGACCATAAGCCTCAAACTAAACTCCGCCTGATCCCCCAACCCTGAACCTTGTCTGAGATTTGACGAACATTTCATTAGGCTTAAATAACTCTTTGTTTTCATTTCTGCTGATGCTTCTGCACTGCCTTGTTCCAGACAAGCCCCGAAGTGGAAATACCACGATACCAGCATCAAACCTGTTGTCGCTGCGTTTCCAGGCCTGTGGGGAGTGATGGAATCTCACGAGAGAACCTCTTCTCATAAGAGTTCCCAGCCAGCCTTGCAGATCCAAGTGGGGCAGATATTTTTGGAAAAGCAGCTGAACTTCTGGACGCTCACCCAAACTGGACAAACTAAACCTTGCAGGTTCTCCTGCCGTGAGTGAAAGCCCCGGGTCGGAGCTATCTCCATCCACCTCACTGGAGTGCAGTGATGTCCCACTGGTACAAAGAAAGGACCATACTGGCGGGCGCAGAATGCATAGTCCTCCTGCAGTGCCTGATACCCAATACAGTGACAGGGCCCAAACAGTGGCTAATGATTTAGTGGAAGAGTAAAAACCTTCCCTAGCACCCAGATGATTTGTGCTTTA